AGAATTGTTACTGAGGGACAACAGAATTGTTACTGAGGGACACAGAATTGTTACTCAGGGACACAAATTGTTACTCAGGGACAGACCACAGAATTGTTACTGTGAGGACAACAGAATTTGTTACTGAGGGACACAGAATTGTTACTCAGGGACACAGAATTGTTACTCAGGGACACAGAATTGTTACTGAGGGACACAGAATTGTTACCTCAGGGAAAGACACAGAATTGTTACTGAGGGACACAGAATTGTTTACTGAGGGAACACAGAATTGTTACTGAGGGACACAGAATTGTTACTCAGGGACACAGAATTGTTACTCAGGAGACAGACAAAGAATTGTTACTGAGGGACACAGAATTGTTACTGAGGGACACAGAAATTGTACTCAGGACAGACACAGAATTGTTACTGTAGGGACACAGAATTGTTACTGAGGGACACAGAATTGTTACTCATGGGACAGGACACAGAATTGTTACTCAGGGACAGACACAGAATTGTTACTGAGGGGACACAGAATTGTTACTGAGGGACACAGAATTGGTTACTGAGGGGACACAGAATTGTTACTCAGGGACAGACCACAGAATTGTTACTCAGGGACACAGAATTGTTACTCAGGGACACAGAATTGTTATGAGGGACACAGAATTGTTACTCAGGGACACAGAATTGTTACTCAGGGACACCCAGAATTGTTACTCAGGGGACAGACACAGAATTGTTACTCAGGGACACATAATTGTTACTCAGGGACACAGAAATTGTTACTGAGAGGGACACAGAATTGTTACTGAGGGACACAGAATTGTTACTCATGGGACACAGAATTGTTACTCAGGGACAAGACACAGAATTGTTACTCAGGGAACACAGAATATGTTACTGAGGGACACAGAATTGTTACTGAGGGACACAGAATTGTTACTCAGGGAGACAGAATTGTTTACTCAGGACCAGACACAGAATTGTTACTGAGGGAACAGAAGTTGTTTACCTGAGGGACACAGAAATTGTAATACTGAGGGACACAGAATTGTTACTCAGGGACAGACACAGAATTGTTACTGTGGAGGGACACAGAATTGTTAGTGAGGGACACAGAATTGTTACTGAGGGACAACAGAATTGTTACTCAGGGACACAGAATTGTTACTGAGGGACATCCAGAATTGTTTACTGAGGGACACAGAATTGTTACTGAGGGACAGACACAGAATTGTTACTGAGGGACACAGAATTGTTACTCAGGGACACAGAATTGTTACTCAGGGACACAGAATTGTTACTCAGGGACAGACACAGAATTGTTACTCAGGGACACAGAATTGTTACTAGGGAGGGACACAGAATCGTTACTGAGGGACACAGAATCTGTTACTGAGGGACACAGAATTGTTACTCAGGGGACACAGAATGTTTACTCAGGAACACAGAATTGTTACTCAGGGACCTCAGAATTGTTACTCAGGGGGACACAGACTTTTACTCAGAGGACACAGAAATTGTTACTCAGGGACACAGAATCGTTTACTGAGGGACACAGAATTGTTACTTCAGGGACAACAGAATTGTTACTACTCAGGGACACAGAATCGTTGAATTAAAGAGTATGTCAGACAACACGCAGAGAGTGGCAGAGGAGGCAATGTTTCAGGAGCGAGCAGATGTGGCAGCAGAGGAAAGGGGTCGAGGCAGCACTAGTACGCTTGCCAGCCCCAGAGCCAGTGCTCCCGGTGTTATCCAGCGGTCGTGTCTCCACCGACAACCCTGCCTTCATCGATTGGTTGGCTCGGTCGTCTATCCTCTTCCCAGGTCACCTCTGACAACCTACAGCCAACGGTCGGTGGTATACGTCAGACACAACCGTTAGTTGCATGGCCCGGGAGCAAGCCCACTGAAATCACGTGTCCTCTACCTGCCCCTGCCCTTCGGTGTTTCCCTCAACCAAGCGAAGTAAGTATCGCATGCTGTGGGCTCAGCCCCACTGTACAGTGAGAAGAGCTAACAGAGGGCGGTCAGGAACGGGGGGAGACATCCGCCTCTTCAGCAGCCAGGCGAAGAAGTACTGGCGAGGAGAGTGGCTCGGTAGCCGGTCTAGAGACAGGTCTGTCTCCTGACCCACACGCAGCCGAGGGGGCTAGTAGTGGGGCGGAGACCCTAATTGATGATGATGAGGCTGATCGCACTTGGCAGCCTCGTCGTCATCAGGCTATTGCTTCCACATCATCAGGAGAAGAGGGTGCCGCTTGGCAGCGAAGCCAAAACAGTACCGGTGGGTTTGCCCAGGAGGCAGCAGGGTCGCAGCAGTGTCATGGGGCAAACGGCCACGGAGTAGGAGCACCAGCTCCACTGCAGCCTACCACCACGGCCAGTAGTGGTGCTGGTGTGCACGGAGGAAGTAGCTAGTCAGCCAGTGAGGAGTAGCGGGGGCAAAGTTTCCTACTCAGCGGTGTGGCAATTTTTCGTCAAGCCGCGCCGATCGGAAGTAAACGTAGCCGTATGTCGACTATGTGGGCCAGAAAGTCAAGCGTGGGCCAGGGGGGGCCATGTCTCCATCTGCCATGTGCCACTTTCAGGTCTCCTCACACTGCTGGTGGGTTCCATTTTTGTCATAGGGTGCTGCAGATTACGGGCCTCCCATTGCTGCTGCCAGGCCCGTAATCTGTCATGGGGCCCCTGTACCGCCTCCTCATGCTGCTGCAGGCCCCGTAATCTGTCATGGGTCCCTGTACGGCCTCCCATCTGTCATGCTGCTGTCTCCATCGCCACACTCTGCCATGTGCCACTTTCAGGTCTCCTCACACTGCTGGTGGGTTCCATTTTGTCATAGGGTGCTGGCAGATGACGGGCCTCCCATTGCTGCTGCCAGGCCTGTAATCTGTCATGGGCCCCTGTACCGCCTCCTCATGCTGCTGCCAGGCCCGTAATCTGTCATGGGTCCCTGTACGGCCTCCCATTGCTGCTGTCTCCATCGCCACACTCTGCCATGTGCCACTTTCAGGTCTCGTCACACTGCTGGTGGGTTCCATTTTGTCATAGGGTGCTGGCAGATTACGGGCCTCCCATTGCTGCTGCCAGGCCCGTAATCTGTCATGGGCCCCTGTACCACCTCCTCATGCTGCTGCCAGGTCCAGAGTGTGTCATGGGTCCCTGTACGGCCTCCCATTGCTGCTGTCTCCATCGCCACACTGTGCCATGTGCCACTTTCAGGTCTCCTCACACTGCTGGTGGGTTCCATTTTGTCATAGGGTGCTGGCAGATTACGGGCCTCCCATTGCTGCTGCCAGGCCCGTAATCTGTCATGGGCCCCTGTACCGCCTCCTCATGCTGCTGCCAGGTCCAGAGTCTGTCATGGGTCCCTGTACGGCCTCCCATTGCTGCTGTCTCCATCGCCACACTGTGCCATGTGCCACTTTCAGGTCTCCTCACACTGCTGGTGGGTTCCATTTTGTCATAGGGTGCTGGCAGATTACGGGCCTCCCATTGCTGCTGCCAGGCCCGTAATCTGCCATGGGCCCCTGTACCGCCTCCTCATGCTGCTGCCAGGTCCAGAGTGTGTCATGGGTCCTGTATGGCCTCCCATTGCTGCTGTCTCCATCGCCACACTCTGCCATGTGCCACTTTCAGGTCTCCTCACACTGCTGGTGGGTTCCATTTTGTCATAGGGTGCTGGCAGATTTACGGCCTCCCATATTGCTGCTGCCAGGCCCGTAATCTGCCATGGGCCCCCCCATGTACCGCCTCATCCTCATGCTGCTGCCAGGTCCAGAGTGTCTCATGGGGTCCCTGTACGGCCTCCCATTGCTGCTGTCTCCATCGCCACACTGTGCCATGTGCCACTTTCAGGTCTCCTCACACTGCTGGTGGGTTCCATTTTGTCATAGGGTGCTGGGCAGATTACGGGCCTCCCATTGCTGCTGCCAGGCCCGTAATCTGCCATGGGCCCCCGTACCGCCTCCTCATGCTGCTGCCAGGTCCAGAGTGTCTCATGGGTCCCTGTACGGCCTCCCATTGCTGCTGTCTCCATCGCCACACTGTGCCATGTGCCACTTTCAGGTCTCCTCACACTGCTGGTGGGTTCCATTTTGTCATAGGGTGCTGGCAGATTACGGGCCTCCCATTGCTGCTGCCAGGCCCGTAATCTGCCATGGGTCCCTGTAGCCCCCGTACCGCCTCCTCATGCTGCTGCCAGGCCCGTAATCTGTCATGGGTCCCTGTACGGCCTCCCATTGCTGCTGTCTCCATCGCCACACTCTGCCATGTGCCACTTTCAGGTCTCCTCACACTGCTGGTGGGTTCCATTTTGTCATAGGGTGCTGGCAGATTACGGGCCTCCCATTGCTGCTGCCAGGCCCGTAATCTGCCATGGGCCCCCGTACCGCCTCCTCATGCTGCTGCCAGGTCCAGAGTGTCTCATGGGTCCCTGTACGGCCTCCCATTGCTGCTGTGTCCATCGCCACACTGTGCCATGTGCCACTTTCAGGTCTCCTCACACTGCTGGTGGGTTCCATTTTGTCATAGGGTGCTGGCAGATTATGGGCCTCCCATTGCTGCTGCCAGGCCCGTAATCTTGCCATGGGCCCCCGTACCGCCTCCTCATGCTGCTGCCAGGTCCAGAGTGTCTCATGGGTCCCTGTACGGCCTCCCATTGCTGCTGTCTCCATCGCCACACTCTGCCATGTGCCACTTTCAGGTCTCCTCACACTGCTGGTGGGTTCCATTTTGTCATAGGGTGCTGGCAGATTACGGGCCTCCCATTGCTGCTGCCAGGCCCGTAATCTGCCATGGGCCCCTGGTACCGCCTCCTCATGCTGCTGCCAGGTCCAGAGTGTCTCATGGGTCCCTGTACGGCCTCCCATTGCTGCTGTCTCCATCGCCACACTCTGCCATGTGCCACTTTCAGGTCTCCTCACACTGCTGGTGGGTTCCATTTTGTCATAGGGTGCTGGCAGATTACGGGCCTCCCATTGCTGCTGCCAGGCCCGTAATCTGTCATGGGCCCCTGTACCGCCTCCTCATGCTGCTGCCAGGTCCAGAGTGTCTCATGGGTCCCTGTACAACCTCCCATTGCTGCTGTCTCCATCGCCACACTCTGCCATGTGCCACTTTCAGGTCTCCTCACACTGCTGGTGGGTTCCATTTTGTCATAGGGTGCTGGCAGATTACGGGCCTCCCATTGCTGCTGCCAGGCCCGTAATCTGTCATGACTCCTCTGCTTAAAAAAAACCCCCCCCCTGTACCGCCTCCTCATGCTGCTGCCAGGCCCGTAATCTGTCATGGGTCCCTGTACGGCCTCCCATTGCTGCTGTGTCCATCGCCACACTGTGCCATGTGCCACTTTCAGGTCTCCTCACACTGCTGGTGGGTTCCATTTTGTCATAGGGTGCTGGCAGATTACGGGCCTCCCATTGCTGCTGCCAGGCCCGTAATCAGCCATGGGCCCCCGTACCGACTCCTCATGCTGTGACGTTGCAACAAGGTGGAATTTAACCCTACATATGTTAACCGCCTTTACGAACAGCAAAAGGCCATCACCGATTTCCTGATGTTACAAGCGGATAAAGGTACTCCCCTGTGTAACTTAGATGTCAGCCATTGGCAGCTCATGCGTGACACCTGCCGCTTGCTCAGGCCCTTTGAGGAGGCCACGCTATTCGTGAGTCGGCAGGACTATGGGATGAACGACGTCATTCCTCTGTTGCACGTCCTGGAACAAATGCTGTTAACAATGGCTGGTCAGGGTGCGGTAGACGTGGCGCACAGATCTCAACGCCACATGACCCCTGTGGGGGCAGGACAGGAAGAAGAGGAGGAGGTAGAGGAGGACATTGGTGCTCAGGAATTTTTGAGTGAAATGGGTGGTTTTTCCACTCAGCGGACAGGAGTGGAGGAGCAGGAGCATCTGGTAGAGGAGGAGGAGGAGACAGAGGACCCAGACGCACCGTGGCAGTATGCTGTGGAGATGGAGGCAGGGAGTCCCTCGCATTCTTTTGGCACAAATGGCCCATAGCATGCTCGGTTGCTTGCGTAGCGACAGCCCGAATATATAACCATCAGACAGAGGGATGACTTTTGGCTGTCCACCTTGTTGGACCCTCGCTACCGTTCAAAAATGGTGGCCTTTTTCACACCTGCTGAGAGGGAGGCCAAAATAACGTACTATAAAAACCACCTATGTAGTCAGTTGGTCTCTGCCTTTCTGCGCCAACGTCCATCATCAGACACTGTGGGCCCTGTGCGCTCGCGTTCCGCTGCCATGGCAGCAGGGGAGGGGTGGGGTGGTAGGAGCAGTGGCAGCTCCACCAGCAGCGGCTGCCTCAGTCTGCAGTCGATGATGAGTAGCTTTCTTCACCAGCGCAGTGAGGAAACTACTAACCAGCCGCAGCAGCAGAAGCATCAGGTGGACCTGGAGCAGGACCTCAAACAACAGGCTTGGGCCTACTTGGACAGCACCCTGCCAACCGAGGTAGACAATCCCCTTGACTACTGGGCAACGAAACTTGACCTTTGGCCCCAACTAGCTGAATTTGCCCTTGAAAGGCTGTAATGCCCGGCTAGTAGCGTGGCATCGGAGCGCGTGTTTAGTGCGGCAGGAGGTATTGTAACTCCGCGGAGGACACGACTGTCCACCCAAAGTGTGGAGAGACTCACGTTGTGAAAATGAATCAGGCGTGGATTAGTCTGGATTTCAAACCACCAGTTCCTGACACAACTGACTAAATCCGCCATGAATCATGCCCCAAACATGTTATTATTTTTAACATAGGCCTCTGTATGGCCTTCAATTTAAGCTGCTTACGCTTCGCCACTCTGCCATGGGCCCCTGTTACTGCCTCCTCTTGCTGCTGCCAGGTCCAGAGTGTCTCATGGGTCCCTGTACGGCCTCCCATTGCTGCTGTCTCCATCGCCACACTCTGCCATGTGCCACTTTCAGGTCTCCTCACACTGCTGGTGGGTTCCATTTTGTCATAGGGTGCTGGCAGATTACGGGCCTCCCATTGCTGCTGCCAGGCCCGTAATCTGCCATGGGCCCCCGTACCGCCTCCTCATGCTGCTGCCAGGTCCAGAGTGTCTCATGGGTCCCTGTACGGCCTCCCATTGCTGCTGTCTCCATCGCCACACTCTGCCATGTGCCACTTTCAGGTCTCCTCACACTGCTGGTGGGTTCCATTTTGTCATAGGGTATGGCAGATTACGGGCCTCCTATTGCTGCTGCCAGGCCCGTAATCTGTCATGGGCCCCTGTACCGCCTCCTCATGCTGCTGCCAGGCCCGTAATCTGTCATGGGTCCCTGTACGGCCTCCCATTGCTGCTGTCTCCATCGCCACACTCTGCCATGTGCCACTTTCAGGTCTCCTCACACTGCTGGTGGGTTCCATTTTGTCATAGGGTGCTGGCAGATTACGGGCCTCCCATTGCTGCTGCCAGGCCCGTAATCTGCCATGGGCCCCCGTACCGCCTCCTCATGCTGCTGCCAGGTCCAGAGTGTCTCATGGGTCCCTGTACGGCCTCCCATTGCTGCTGTCTCCATCGCCACACTCTGCCATGTGCCACTTTCAGGTCTCCTCACACTGCTGGTGGGTTCCATTTTGTCATAGGGTGCTGTATGGCCTCCCATTGCTGCTGCCTCCACCGCCACACTGTGGCTCCACACTCTGGTTTTGGCCCCGTGACTGCCCAAATGAGTGAAGTGTGCGGTGATTCTAAGATCGACGGCACTCATCTGCATGTCATACTGACTGACAGTATTATTTCTCTTCCCCAGCAGACTCCAAGGGCATTTAAATTAAAGGTACAGTGTTATGCACTAATATAAAGGCTCTCTGAAGCCTAGAAACACCCTTTTTATAAGTTAAATTCGCAGCGAATATATTCGACTCGAATCGAATTTATTCTGCGAATTCGCCGAATCAGCCGAATCGAATTTTTGAATACTTCGCTCATCTCTAGTCACTAGCTCTGACCCCACTGGAGTTGGACACTGGAGTGTCTAGGGACCAGGGGGACAAGAGCGCCAGTAGGTGTTGTTTGCAGCTCTTGCAGATGATGACCTTGGAAGACTGATAATCCTCTGATTCAGGCACAGTAGTAACATGCAGAGCTGGTCCTGTAGATTGCCAGGTGTACCACAGCAAGGCAGGAAGAGAGGGTGAGAGACAGGAGCAGTGTCATAGGAATAGCCAGGGTCATCAACAGGTGGACAGCAAGGTACAAAATCAGAAGCAAAGCCGAAGTCAGGAGCAGAGCTGAAGTCAGGAACCAGTATCAATCAGGAGAGTAATCGGAGTCAGGTCAGGAACAAGCCGGGTCAGCAACAAGGGAATCACACAGGAACAAGCAGCACACGGGGGAGCTGAAGACCAGTCAGCACTCAACACAGGCACAGACACCCTTTAAAAAGTCCATCTGGCGCCAATCTTCGCCGTGTGTGTGCGCGATCATGCATTTACACAACCGATCACTCTTCTCCGGACGTTTCTATGCGCATGTGCATTTCTATTCACAATTCAGCTCACCGGAATCCCTTACACCTACCCTGTTCCATCGCCTATGGGAATGTGTTTGAGTCTCTAATATCTGGAATCAAGTTATTCAGTACATTAATCCATTATACAACATTTCTCTCTCCAAAGACCTTATGCTTTGTCTCTTCAGTTACCAAGACCCCACAAAGTTGGCACATCCTAACACTCTTCCTCAGTGGATACACATTTGTTTATTAGTAGCTCACCGAGCCCTCATGCAAGCCTTGATACATCCTAATTCCCCACAGCTCAAGATGGTGACACAGGCATTAATTACCTTATTTAACATGGAGAAGCTGGACACCATCACTCAAAACTTCAAATCTACAGGTCACTTTATCTCAAGATGGGAGCGCTTCATGGTGCATTCTTTTACTCCTGCTGAATTAGCCGCTCATATGGAATCCTTCCAGTGTTTAGATTGGTATCTCAAAGCTCAACTAACCAAAACTTTGGGTACACTCCCCGTACCCAACTCCCCTTGTAGCCTCTCCCCAGTTTCCTTCCTCTCTGTTTCACAGCGGAGTCCACGCTCCTTATTAAGATTCCTAGCCCACACAATACTCTTCCTCACGTTTTCTCTGATACACCTGGGGTTTTTTTTTTTTTTTTGGTTCAGGCCACTGTAACCAAGCTTACGTTCCTAGGGATTTGTTCAATTTTGAGAATCTGCTTTTTCTGTTTAACCACTTGCCTACTGTGCCCTTATACCCCCTTCCTGCCTGGGCCAATTTTCAGCTTTCAGTGCTGTTACAGTTTGAATGACAATTGCGCGGTCATGCAACATTGTACTAAAATATTTTTTTATAATTTTTTTCACACAAATAGAACTTTCTTTTGGTGGTATTTAATTGGTGCTGGGTGTTTTATTTTTTTTGCGCTATACACAAAAAAGAGCAAAACATTTGAAAAAAAAAGGTTTTTCTTTGTTTCTATTATAAAATTTTGCAAACAGGTAATTTTTCTCCTTTACTGATGTGCGTTAATGAGGTTTCACTGATAGGCACCACTGATGAGGTGGCACAGATAGGCAGCACTGATAGGCAGCGCTGATGATGCTGCACTGATAGGCAGCACTGCTGGGTGGCACTGCTGGGCAGCACTGATGGGTGGCACTGATGGTTATAGGTGGGTGGCACTGATGGGCACAGGTGGGTGGCACTGATGGGCACTGATGATCAGTGCCGATCACTTATCTGACAATTGCCGGTTATCGGCAGTATTTTCCTCACGCTGTGACAGCATGAGAAAAGTGCAGCCGATAACCGGCAACTGTATTCACCTGGTGATCTGCTGTGTCATTGGACACAGCTGATCACGTGGTAAATAGGACACAGCGATCACCGATCAGGCGCACCGCTGTGGGCGCGCAGGGGGCATGTTCTGGAATGACGTCTAAAATGGACGTCATCCCAGAACTAGACAAACCACGCTGTAGCCGTCTTTCAGCTATAGAGTGGTAGGGAAGAAGTTAACTGCTATGTTGTACTATTTGTGTCTAATTCTTTCCCAGTACATCTGTTGTATTGATTTTTGTGTTTGTAGTTGTTCCGTCCGATGGCTTTGTATGTCAATTTGTATGTCAAGATGTATTCTTGTACTTTCAATAAAAATTGTTTTAAAAAAATAAAAAATCACCCCTGCATAACTGTCACATTTGGATGAGCAGCTGTATCTGCACAGCTGCTGAGTCCCCACATACTGCCTATACACAGCTCAAACTGGCTCTAGCTGCATCGGCAAGGGGTCTGTGATTGACCCCCTGGCACCCCACCTGACTGCTTCCTTGGAACACAGGAACACGATATTATAGCTAGGAACTAGACAACACTAGCTTAGGCGCAAACAGGAACTGAACTTCATTGAAAATTCACACAGAATTTGTACCACACAAAATCAGAGCTTGATCACTTTATCCTAAACAATGCAAACTTTAAAGAGTAATATCATCAGTACATTTGAACAGCTAACAGTAACCTAATTAAGGGTCAGCTAATCAACAGCCAGGCACCCAGCCCAGTCAGGAAGCCCACCCAGACAGTCCCACAACCACAACCCTGAATACACAATTACATTACGCATGCTGTCTTTCAGGTGTTTGGCTTTCATGTGTTTAATATGTCCACTAGAAACGTCATCATAAGACAAAACTTATACAATGTTCCAGCAATCTGAGGAAGATTGTTGAAAAATTCCAACCCAGTCTGCAGGAGGGCCACCATATTTCCTGTGACCATTAACATGTAAAGATTATATTACACCTTTCCATCCACTCCATAAGGGAGTTATTTCTTTGTTTAGAGAATGAATCCAAGCCTCGCTCTCACTGTTCATCATGTTGTTGTCCATCACCAGAGAATGATCTGCTCTTCCATGAGATTAGAGGCTGAACTGAGCTCTTTTCCATGCTCTAACCCAGAGAAGCAGACATAATCCTTGGTCTCCTCCATGGACCATAATCATTGGGTAGAAGGCTAGCCCCTAGTCCCCTCCAAAGCCCCTGTCCTGGTTGGGTCTGTCACAGGGTCATTCACCCTATAAGTGTCATAGTGCCTATGTGAATGAGGTTTTACTGTTATTTGGTAAGCCAGGAGTTGGTGGATGAGCTGCAGTAAGATGTCACTATATATGAGTGCAGTGCTGACATTTGTGAACTGATTTTGTTAATATGCCACTATTAAAGGTTGACCCCCCTTGCATCAAGTAAAGCGTATTCACTATATCTGGTCTTCCACAGTACACAGAACATGGAAATGCAATTATTTTAGTAAATATAAACTGCTAAATACTTTTTCTTCATCAGTAGTTGGAGCAGTCTTGTGGCATATCAGTGTCTAGCAGAGCACTAGTTAAAGCTTGTTGGAGGAGTTTTCATTCTCCTATGGTTGTCCTATGAGGTTGCAGGACCTCTTACCTTCTGTCTGGACAGTGCTGATTGGCCCTGTGCTGATCACATGCACTGTCCCAAGAACAAAAAAAACTCTCTAGCAATACACACCAAACTGAGCATGTGCAGCTTGCCCCCAAGGCTCTGTTCTATCAGCAGATGGATTGGGGAATGTGGAAGAAGGGGAGGATCAGAGAAGATGGGATAAAATATCCTTTTTTATACAATGTAGAGGATTAACCCTTTAGGTTCCACAGTGAGTATAACAAGCATGCTTTACTGCATATACAGTCTGATTTTACTGTTGTGGGCTTAGTAAAACTTTAACATGAATATGTCAGTGCCTAAAATGTTTCTAAGCTAACAAGACAGCTATGTCTGTTGTCCTATGTAGTCTCAGTCAAAGCTCAAAACCCCTGTCCCCTGCCATTCAACCCAGTTCCAGGCACTCTCATGGCCATTGAGTATCAGCATTGTACTGTTGGAGTGCAGAAGCTAGACAGTCCATAGTGTGGTCTTTGGTTGAAGTCCAGGTCCTGACAGGTTAAATAAACATTTCCACTAGAGCTAGGGCAAAATGAATAATTGAAAGTTTTACAGACTTAAACTTGATGTTAATTCATTTCATTGGCCAGGATAATAACGTATCCTGACTAATTAATGCTTAAGCACTAAACACACGTAGTGTCAAAGCACTTTTAGAAGAGTTTCTGCCTCGTCAAATGGTTTTCTGTCAAAACTCTCCTCTCCTGAACGCAATTCTGCATTCATGAGAGTAGCATTTACTGCCTCTAAACGCTGGTAAAAGTATATGTCTGCATGGACACATAGGCTTTTATTGAGTTGTGGTTTGTGGCTTTGGCAAAAATGTCAAAAGCTCTAAAAATGTGAGTTTAGGAGCAGCAGTGTGCATGAGGATTTTCCTCATGCACACAGGGTGTTTTTGCAGCCTCTTTTAGGGACGTCAGGATTCTAAACGGCCATCAATGATATCCTAGGTGTTCATGCACACAGACTTTTAAAAGCTTTTAGTAGGAGTAGCTACTAACAGAAAAAACTCTTGATGCTTGCAAACTCGCCTAAACTCTTGTAAAAGCATTAGACTTTTACAAGCGTCAGGTGTATTTTCTGCAAAAAAGATGCTGCCAGAGGACAGTTTCTAGGAGAGTTTTTTTTTTTTTTAATGTCCTGTGTGCATGAGGCCTTAAAGTGTTACTAAACCCAGGACCCTGCATTTATTATATATCTGGTCTCCCACAGTACACAGAACATGGGAATGCAATTATTTTAGTAAATATAAACTGCTAAATATCCTTTCTCATCAGCAGTATATAGCACTCTTGTGACTTCTATCAGTGTCCGGCTGAGCACTGGTTAATCTTGTAGGAGGAGTTTTCATTCTCT